AAGAACAGATTCCTGAAAGTTCTCCCTTCATTTGTATGTCATCACACACACACACACAAACACACACACAACACACACACACACACACACACACACACACACACTTTAAAAAAAGACTAGCTACTATCCAAGGCTGTCTTGTGTCTTGACAATGTACAGGGAAGGAATTCATGACCTGCCTGTGTTTTCTTTGCTGCTTCTAATCCACTCTTCCATTTGTCACTGTGCTTGACACCTCCAGAAGGCAGACATTTACAGCTGCTTCAAAGGATTCCTTGCTTTGCTAGTATCTGCTGGTTCTGGTCAATGGAAAGTACCGTCAGGGCAGCAAAAGACAATGAAGAATGAGGCGCTCTTGACTGGGTTTCACTGAAGTTTCTGAAGGCCTCAAGTCCTGTTGGCCAAGCCTCTCCTGTAACTCTGGCCAAGCAAGTCAGAATTCCTCCCTGTCTGAGAATGTTACATCCTTGTTTCTCCCCTTTAACCTAGTCTCTACCTTTGTGAACTGTCCCTTCAGAATCATCACCAGATATCAGCCCTTCAATCTCAATGTCTATTCATTTCCTATTGGTAGAAACAAAACACAAACCTGGTTGTGGTGGTGGTGGCGGCGGCGGTGGCAGCAGCGGTGCACACCTTTAATCCCAGCACTCAGGTGACAGAGGCAGGCAGATCTCTTGAGTTCAAGGACAGCCTGGTTTACAGAGCAAGTTCTAGGACAGCCAGGGCTACACAGAGGAATCCTGTCTTGAAAACAAAACAAAACAAAACAAACAAAAAACAAAACCAAGAAACAAAACATAAAATGGTGAGTAGAATTACACTGTGGACTTCAGCAACACAAAACAGACAAGGAAGTCATAGAGTGACTAGCACAAATGATAGGCTAAAACATGGGTTTGTTGTTGTCTTTTTTTTTCTTTTTTTTTTATCTTGTGGCTTCCAACATTGGGTCTTCTCAAAGAGGATGCTTGTAACATGAGTAATAAAAACCCAGAGACAGATACTGGGGTTAAAGCTGAAGATCAGAGAAACAAAGCAGCCAGCCATTAGCTTTTACCTCTGCCTCAGACCGAAATGGGTGATCCGATCTTGTCTGCACAAATCCAAATTGATCTGACTGCATCTGTCTCCTCCTGTCCTAGTCTTATTTTCCTCCCTAGTGCTGAGATTAAAGGTGTGTCATCCCAAGTGCTGGGATCAAAGGTTTGAGCTTTGTTTCTCTTTTAGATTGATTTACTCTCACATAGCCCAGGGTGGCCTTGAACACTCAGAGATCTATCTGCCTCTTTCTCAAAAGCACTGGAATTAAAGGTGTGGCCACCACTGCCTGCCCTCTTTGACTAACTAGTGGCTTAGGTGTGTGTGTGGCTAACTAGTGGCTTAGCTCTGCATTCTGATCTTCAGACAAGTTTTATTTGTTAGATCATAAACAAAACATCACCACAGAGTCTGAGATGGGGTTTTGGGCTCCAGGGATTCACTTCCTCAAAAGAAAGAGGAAAAAAGCAGAAAACACAGAAGACTTCAAATTGCAAGGCTTAGTCAGCAGGAAGCACTGGATGAGAAATGGCCTTGCCCTTTCCTATCTTGTTTATTTCCCAAATGCACTAGGACACCCAGGAGGTGTAATCTTGGGTAAGGCTACTCCCTGCAGAGAAGGCAGACTTTGACATCACAGCCTGATGCACACTGTCAGCTGATTGGACTTGGAGCAGCTTGGCAGAAAGTCCTTCCTGGAGGATCAGAGACCAAGCCTCTCCATGTCCTCCACACAAGCTTCACTCTCAGTGGTTCCTAGGCCTTTTTTTTTTCTATGAGCCTGCCTACCGAAGGGATTTTATACAAGGGCTCTGTTCTCATGCCTGGATCTTGGTAAAAACCCTACTGGTTTACTCAGTTCTGTATTCTAAGGTACTCCTGATTGAACTTATAAATTGCCAGAGTGACAGGCAGGTGGCTTAAGGAAATACGTTTTCACTTTAGGAAATTTGAGACATTAAGAAGGGAGGCAATACTGTATAGAGCTGGCAATAATAACACCATACAATAAGAATCAAATACCCATTAGGATGCTTTTATGTTCTGAGGGAAAGGCTGCTCTGAGATTTTATCTGGAGGATGCGATGTGTGACTTTGACAGTTCAGTCTTCAGCTTTGTACAGTAGGCTCTCTTACCTCCCATGGCTGCATTTTGTTGCCATGACATCTTCTGTAGTGTTGGCTTTGTAGATGAATATAGATACATTTAATCTACACACTGTATCAGTTGTTAGGTAACTAATAAGTTGATGTAGCTGTTATTTATAGCAATTTCTTTTTTTATTTTCTCTTTGAGATGGATTTTACTGCATAGCCTTGGCTGTCCTGGAACTCTCTGTAGATTAGGCTGGCCTTGAACTCACAGAGATCCATCTGCCTCTGCCTCATGAGTGGTGGAATTAAAGGAATGTGCCACCACTGCCCGGCTTCATGTTCTTTTATCTTTAAAAGAATCATGATCTAAACAGAGAATGAGATCACCGAGTGCACAAGTAGCTACACATAGTAGACCGATCTCTGAATTTCTTCTCTATCAACTTACATCTTTTTATGCGTTCAGCAGACGAGTTTAAACTTTACCAGGCTCTTATTGCTTTTTTCTTGGAATTAAATTTTATTATTTTTATTTATTTATTTATTTGTGTGTGTGTGTGTGTGTGTGTGTGTGTGTGTGTGTGTGTGTGTCTGTGTGTCTGTGTGTCTGTGTGTCTGTGTGTGTCTGTGTGTATACGTACCCTGGAGCTACAGTGGGATGTGCCAATCACAGGAGGAGTTGTCTCTCCTTTACTCTTGTGTGGGTTCCAGGGATTGAATGCAGGTCTTTACGGTTTGTGGTAAGTACCTTTACCCCTGAACCATCTTTCTGGCTTGTCTGTCCGTCTAGCTTCATATGTATATGTGTGAGTGTAAGTGCCTAGAGGTCGGAGTGCAGTTGGTTCTCTCCTTCCACCCTGTGGAACCTGGTTGTTGGGGCCTGGTGTTCATACAAGCCTGTGCATATGCTTTCATGATGTGTGCAGACGTCATGGTGCATATGTGGAGGGAGTCAGTTCTTTTCTTTCACCTCCATTAAACTCTGGTCAGCAGGTTTGCAGGACAAGCAACTCACTCACTGAGCCATCTCACCTATTCATTTATTGCTAATTTAGAACATCATTAATTATGAATTTGGTTCATGAGGTCTTTATTATTGAATATAAACAAGAATGATACTAAAATTGCTAAGTGTTCTCAATTTATTATCGGTTTTAACTTTTAAGATTTTGCTTTTATTTACTTATTAACCTTTTGTTGCTGTTGTTTTTGCTTGTTTGATTTGTTTTTTTGAGATAGTGTTTCTCTGTGTAGTCCTGGCTGTCCTGGCTCTCACTCTGTAAATTAGGCTGGCCTTGAACTCACAGAGATCTGCCTGCCTTTACCTCCTGAATGCTGGGCTTATAGGTGTGAGCCCCCACTGCCTGGCTTAGTCTTATTATTTTCAATTATGTGTCTATGTTTAGATTTGTGCACATGAGGTGCAGGCACCCTCAGAGGCTAGAGGTGTTAGATCCCTTTGGCTACTGGGGACTCAAAACTTGGGCCCTCCACAAAAGCACACATGCCCTTTGCAGATGAGCCACCACTGATGCTTCTAATATTGGCTTGGATAAAATAAACTGTGCAAATAACTTCACACCAAATCTGGAGGATGAAGAGTTAACACTCTCACTGACAGCTCTTTCTGTATAGACCAAATTGACTTGGAATTCACAGAGATCCTGCTTCCATAGAGTGCTAAGATTAAAGGCAGGTACTACCACACCTGGGCCCAAAGAGCTGATTTCTATTTAAATGTTATTAACGATATTTCAGACCAATGAAGTCGTTCAAGAAGTTCAGTTAACACCGCGCGCGCTCATGTGCGCGCGCAACTATGAAATGCTCTGTTGCAAGCCAACTGACCCTCAAGTGAATGTTTGATTGGCTTTTTTTTTGGAAATGTACAAACCTTATCTCGGAGAGAGCAGATTTCCAAGGGTAAACAAACCAGCAAGCAATCGTATTTCTGTTCTAGGACTTTGGAAGCAAAGGTACTTTAGCTTGTTGGGGGTGGTGGGGGGATGGATATGTGTCGATTCTGTCCGGCACCAGAGTGCAGTGTGCTTTGGGGACCCGGGGACCTTCAGATCTAGTCCCTTACGCAAAATTTCCCAATATAGGACTTTGATCTTTTAAAGCAACAACAACATTCAAATAACTCGATGTTCATAACTTACTTTTAAATGACTTATGCTCACTATGAAGGAGAATACATTCTGAAATCACATTTCTACCTACAGGGAGCCTCCTTCCACTTTCAGAAATACACGTGTAATCTTTGACTTTGTTTGTTTGTTTGTTTTTCAAGCCAGGGTTTCTCTGTGGCTTTGGAGGCTGTTATGTGTGTATGAATCCGTTCTGCCCTTCTATCCAGGCAATAGTAAACTCAGGTCATCAGCCTTCACGGTGAATGCTTTTATTCACTGCCTTATTCACTCATTTTCTGGCTCTATACCTTCTCTTTTGAAGTTAGAATGTGCATGCAGTAAATATTTGGTTTTGTACATGCTGACTGACCTGCCTGAAGACAATGGTAGAGATTAACTACCTTTCTGTGGCAGCTTTAAAAGCTGTGGTGCCGAGCAAAGGTGCCTTCAAGTGAGTCAGTTTCACATGGGGCTACTTTATAAAACATTAGTCCAACTAAAAATCCCTGTTAATTATTAAGCCCTTCTGTATTATCTGGCTAACTGACACTGCAGGTTGAGACCAGAGAGTGTTAATTCCTGAAGCTACCAGTACACCGACAAGAAAATGTAACTACGGAGGAACTGAAAATTACTCAATCTCTTCCTCTTGTACAAACGAAGAGAGTATCTGCTGTTTTGCTGGCATGTCTGTGACCTAACAAGCATTTTAATGCTTGTTTAGGATTCCTGGTGTCTTGTTTAACCATGGTGGAAATTAGTGTTCGAAGAATCCTTCTTTTGGTTGTTTCTCTGGCCAAGTGTCTGGAAGGTACAAAGCTGCTGGCTCACCTCAAAAAGTGTGGTGACTTGGAATGTGAAAGTAAGTTTTCTTCTTCGTTTTCACACTGAGTTCTGAAATTACATTAAATGTTACTGTGAGCCTGTATGATGAAATCAACAATAATAATATTGAGAAATAGTTGAATTATAAACTATAGTTTGATATGAAAAAGGAATTCTAGAAGCAAAATATTTTGTGATAGCATTATTATAAATTTAACATAGAAGACAAAAATAAGACTGGTATAGAAATATGTCAGAAATGGTATTAATCCATGTATCAAAAACTAAATAAAAACTTTTTTTTTAAAAGATAATTGAGTTGTTTAAGAAGATATCAGGCAGTTTGGTAATTCACTATTTATAAAATTTCTACATTTTAGTTCCTATTTCACAATCAGGACTTTCTGATTCTCATGAGTTTCCCTGAAAATGTTTTTATTTCAAACATCATGATCTAGTTGTCTAAATTTTATCAAATGCTAATCATTTGTGTTAATTTATTATATAAAAATGTTAAAATAAGTGTTCTAATATAGATATATATGATTTATAACATTCAATATTAAATGCTCTTGCATTTCTATGATGAGAAATTAATTTCTACTTTGTTGTTTAAGAACTTACATTTAAAACTTTTGCCGGGCGTTGATGGCGCACGCCTTTAATCCCAGCACTCTGGAGGCAGAGGCAGGCAGATCTCTGTGAGTTCGAGGCCAGCCTGGTCTCCAGAGTGAGTGCCAGGATAGTCTCCAAAGCTACACAGAGAAACCCTGTCTTGAAAAACCAATAAATAAATAATAAATAAATAAATAAATAAATAAATTTTTATTTTGTATATGGGTATTTTGCCTACAGGTATGTATGTATGTATGTATGCATGTATGTATGTATGTAGGTATTATACAATATATGTGCCTAGTGCTCACGGAATCCAAAAGAGGGTATTGGATTCCCGGGCACTTGAATTACAGACAGTTATGAATTACATGGCAGTTATGACCTGCCATGTGGCTGCAAGAGCAGTATGTACTCTTAACCACTCATCATCTCTCCAGCTCCAAGAACTTAATTTTTTCTTATCCACACGATGATGCAGAATAACGTTATCCTGCTGAGTACAGTGGCACACATCTTTAGCCCCAGCAATCAGGAGGCAGAATCCGGCAGATCTCTAGTCCCAGGCCAGCTTGATCTACATAGAGAGTTCTTCATTTCAAAATAAAAGAATAACAAAAAACAGAGAAGGAAAATATTGTATCTTTATCTTAGATGTTGAAAATAACTTTTGTCTTTCCCACATGAAAGCTATTTCTAATTTTGCAAAAAATGTAAATTAAAATACAAAGTATAATCATATAAAACAAAAAATTGCCAACAGATACGCAGGAAAGATCTACTTACCTTTATTCTATGTGTATCAGTGTTTTGCCTGCATGCATGTAAAGGCACTGGGTGTGTGCTTGGTTCCCTCAGAGGCCAGAGAAAGTACTGAATCCACTGGCTGGAGTCACAGATGGACAGCCACAATTTGGGTGCTGGGAACTGAACCCAGGTGCTCTAGGAGAGCAGCCAGTGCTCCCATGTTCTCAGCCATGTCTCCAGCCCCAGTCATTTTTTTTCCCCCAAGACAGGGTTTCTTTGTGTAGCCTTGGCTGTCCTGAAACTCACACTGTAGATCAGGCTGACCTCTAACTCAGAGACCCACCTGCTTCTGCCTCCCAAGTACTGGGGTTAAAGGCCTGAGCCACCACTGCCTGGCCCGTTAGTAATATTTTTATGAATAAAAAATTTTGTAGCCTTTCTCAGAAGTCATTTGAAACATGCTCACAACATCTTTCTTTTCTTTTCCTTCCCTCCTTCCTTCCTTCCCTTTTTCCTTGTTTTGTTTTTTGGAGACAGTTTCTATACATAGTCATGGGTGTCCTGGAACTCTCTGTGTACACCAGGTTGGCCTTAAACTCACAGAGATCTGCCTGTATCTGCCTCCCAAGTTGCCGGGATTAAAGGGTTGCATCTCCAGTCCCTACCAACTACATGGCATTTCATAATAAAGGCCCTTTAATTTTTCTCTAATAACTGCGTGCTACATTTAATAATGTTTTTATTTATCCTTTGGCAAATTTCATCCATTTATACAATGTGCTTTTGATCAAGTCTACCCCATATCTCATTTCCAACTTCTCCTGCAGCCTCTGCAACATCCTCTCTCCAAATTCTCTTTTTTGATTTTAAAAAGAAAGTTCTTAAAAATTTATCCATTTTATTTTATGTGTGAGTGTTTTGTCTGCATGTATTTCTGCATACCACTTGCATGCCTGGTGCTGACAGAGGTCAGAGGAGGGCATGAAACCCCCTGGAACTGGCGTTACAGATCCTTGAGAACCACCACGTGTTCCATACCATCAGAGCATGTGTAACCTTTCAGTGGCCACACCCCTGGAGAAAAATGACTCTCTTCCTTCAGAAGCCATGGACTCCTTAGCTCCTCCATTAGCAGCAGGGGCCTTATTAGCCCATCCCTGCTCTGTTTTGGGATGTCAATGGCTTGATCTTGTACAGGTCTTTGGTGAGTGTGGCAGCCGCATCACATCCAGAAGATGGCATTTCAAAATGCAAAAGATGATTAGTTTAAATGTAAGAATTTTGCAAGTGATATTTTTATGCACAATCCTTTTTTCTTTTGGAAAAGTCATTCAATATGTAGAGAAGTCTGAGACCTCAGTACTTTACAGTGACAATGCCACTTCGCGTTATAGCATTACTTTAATATCTTTAGAGTCCAATGGAAATTCAAGTTCATAGTAGTAATTTATACTGCTATTTTAACTCCTATTGAAAGACTTCATCAGTAGTATGCTTTTAAATTTCACACATTATATGGTATGTATGTTTAGACACTGATGGGCTGAATCAAGCATATGTGATATACTCAGAGTTATTGAGGGCCTACTATATCTCCAGGGTATGTGTTTTAATACAATGTATTTTAAAAGTAACAAAGCACAATGTCAGCTGTTTCTTACTCTGTAGGAATAGTCATTTTATTTAATAATGACAACACAAATGAAGGTGAAACAATAGTGATATAAAATTGTTAGGATAGCAGGTATTGCTGCAGTTCAGACTCAGAGAGGAAGCAAGGTATGAGCTAAGCAAGAAGAGAGATGGACTTCTTTCTGGGCAGAGGGAAGATAGACACTTGGGATAAAGAAGGTGATGTTGCAGTGAAAAAAAATCCCAGGGTAGATCTAGCCAACCAGAGCCTTAGCTGGCCCCCTAGGCCTTAGCTAAAGGCTCACTTGTTAGAATGAAATGGGGTTGTTTACTTTACAGACCAGCACTGAGGACTTAACAGAATGAAAATATAATGCTTACGAATGTAAAGATACCAGAAAGAAAGCCAGCATCCTACACACAGCGTCCTCAGTGGTGACTCCTCTGAGGACAACAAGCTGGAGCGCAGCCCTGAATTTGTGCAAACAGGAGAGATTGCTTAAAATAGGGAAGGACACAGGCTTCAGAGATGGATCTGTAGTTAAGAGCGCTTACTGCTCTTGCAGAGAACCTGGGTTTTCAGTTCCCAGCACCTACATGGCAGTGTACAACCACCTATAGATCCCCTTCTAGTGGATCTGGTACCCTCTCTGGCCTTTGTGAGCACCAGGCACACACATTTGGTACACAGACATACATGCAAGCAAAACACTCAAACACATAAAATAAAATATAAACATCTTAAAGATGGAAAACACAATAAGGAAGGGAGAGCCTTGCGATGACTCAGTGGGTAAAGGCACTTGCTGCCAACCCTGACAACCTGAGTTCAAAAGACAACCAGGATCCACAGGATATAAGGAGAGAATTGACCCACAAAAGTTGTATTCTGACCTCTACATGTGCATTACATGTATACACACACACACACACACACACACACACACACACACACACACACACACACAAATGCGTGCTTGAGCATGTGCAGTAATTTAAGTTAAAAAAAAATAGATAAGTGGGATCAGGTTGTAAATAATCTTAAATACTGTGCCAAAAAATCTGGATTTGAATCTGTGTGTAGTGAAAAGTTTATTTTGGTTTTTGAGATCCTAATATCAGTAAATTAGCATTTCAAACTTTATTATTATTATTATTATTATTGTTGTTGTTGTTATTATAGAACTAGCCTATGGTAATTTGAATGTAATTGTCCCTCATAAGCTCATAGAGAGTGGCACTATTAGGAGATGCAGCTTTGTTAGAGTAGGCATGGCCTTGTTGGAGGAAGTGTGTCACTGTGGGGGTGACTTTGAGGTTTCTTATGCTCAAGATACCACCTAGTGTCACAGCACCATGTCGGCCTGCACACCACCATTCCCCCCACCATGATGATAATGGACTCTGAACTGTAAGCCACCCCAATTAAATGTTTTCCTTATAAGAGTTGCTGTGGTCATGGTATCTCTTCACAGCAATAGAAATCCCAAGACATGGCCCAAACTATTGAAATCCTCCTGCCTCAGCTTCATGAGTGCTACAATTACAGGTGTGAACTATTAGGCCCAGCTATCATTTCCCAATTTAAAGGATGAGCTTGGTGTTGGTGGTGCACACCTTTAATCCCAGCACTTGGGAGGCAGAGGCTGGTGGATCTCTGTGAGTTTGAGGCCAGCCTGGTTTACAGAACTGGTTCCAGAACTGCCAGAGCTGTTACTCACAGAAACCCTGTCTCGGAAAACCAAACCAAACAAACACGAAACAAAAAAAGGAAAACAAAATCCAAAAGCAAAACCAAAACACAAAACTAAAAGAACAGATTGAAGAAAGGCAAAATGGATGGAAGAGTCAAGTCTGGTGGCATGTATCTATAATCTCAGCACTTGGACGAAGTGGAAGCAGGAAGATTTTAAGTTAGAGGTCAGTGTAGGACACATAGCAAGACCTTGCCTATAAGGTAAATAAGAAGCAATGACATTTCAAAGTGTGTGATTTTCTTTGTGTCTATGTAGCTTTAATCAGCAGAGTCTTAGCCCTGAGAGACCACACAGGACCTGACTGCCAGTACCTGAACTTCACTAAGGGTGACGAGATATCTGTTTATGTCAAACTTTCAGGAGAGAGAGAAGATCTGTGGGCAGGAAGTGTAAGTATCTAGTTTTAAGAACTGAATGCGGAATAAATGTCCAACTTGCATAAGGATACTCACTGTGAACTCTTATCACTGTATAAACATGAAAATCCTCATCACATTTAAGCAGGCAAACAAACAAAAAAATGAGCACATGCATGCCTTTCATCCAAGCACTCGGTACAAGGCCTGCCTGGTCTATATAGCAATTTCCAGACCAGCCAGGGCTCAAAAAAAAAAATCACAAAATTTCAGTAAAAATATCTAAAATTTCCGTAAAAGGAGTTTTTGGGAAATAAGTTTGAGATGAAGGACTAAAGGGGTGCCTTGAGATTTTTTTTTTTTTTACATAATATGCACAGTTTTAAGCTTAGCGTTTGTATTTATTTAGAAAGTCTTTAGGAGTAATGACATGTATAATAGCAACCACAATCATCTCTCTGTGCTGTCAGTGACCAAGTTTGAGAAAGACTGAGAAGTTAGTTGATCAGATTTCAAAGTATGCCTCTCTGCACAGAGAGGGCTGAACTGTGTTGTAGAGGTCAGCGGAACTCTGGTACTCTAGGGAAGAAAGGTATATAAGATTCCATGGAAAACAAAAGAATAACTGCACGATCTTTTATTTGGCCAAACTAAAAGCAGCCTAAACTATCTCTGAGAATAATAATTAATGTTTTCACTTGAAAAGATTTATATCTCTGCTGTGTATTATGTTTTGTAATAACGGCATGCTATGATAGATGAGTTTACCTCCAAGCTCAACAGACATGACCAATCTGATAGAGTCCCACATAGTTCCCACGTTGTGTATGTATCAGGTTCTTCCCCAATGCAGTCTCTAAGCTCACTGTCTGAGACAGTTTCATGTAGCCCAGGCCATCCATAAACTCCCAATATAGTTGAGGATGAGCCTGAATGCTAGATCTCTCCCATGTGGATGTTGCTGGTGTACAACATGATACCCGTCTGAGGGCATGGACTATTTCTGAAACCTTCCTCTTCATACCAGGGCATGTGTAACCAGCCTTAGCCACTGGCCAGATTTGCTTTCTGTTCTACAGCTTCCAGGACTCCTTACTGCTTAGAATGGCTTTAAAAAACCAGTTTGTGTTTTGAATGCATCACAGAAATCTGATGCAGGTATAAGAAAATGACATAGTATAAGTCATAAGAGGCAAAGAAAACCACCTTTTTTGTTTACCAAGTATGAAAATAATAATTCTACACAAAATGCTGTTTAATGGATAAAATTCTGGGTGAAGTCTCAGTTGCTTTTAGTTTGGTACATTAAATGTTTAGTCTAATTGCTTCTCTGCCTTTTTGCTAAGATGAAGTAGAGATGGATGGCCTGTACTTAATAACCATTTAAGGACTCATAGACCATTTACAAATAGTCTATAGACTATGCAATATATACATTGCTATCACTATGTATTGTAAATGATGATTAACAGGGGAGCTAGAAGAATCATATTTAATGTGTGATAATGTGAGATCAGAAGACAGAAAATATCTGTGAAACTTTAACAGGCATAAGAAGGGCTCTTAGTGGTTAGGTGGTGACTTCACTCTTAGGGGACATCCTACTTGTGCTTGCATGTGCTTGAACTTGGTCAAGAGAATCTGTTACCAGGCTAGCCCAGAAAAACCAAAAGGAAGTACATTCTCCCTTGTGGACACATGAACCTTAACTACCTCGAGAAATTAATCTCCAGATTCTGGGAGTTTAAATCCATTTCTTGGATGTGACACATTGAAAACTCCCAGTTTGTCGTATCCTCTGGAGTCTTCCCTAGTTGTCACCTGAATTGTTACCTTTTGATATCTCAAATAGAAAAGTGTGAATCTGCAAAACCTGAGCAAACAAGGTCGGTAGAAAATAAGGGAAGGCTTGGGCTGGAACAATGGCCAGGGGCTAACAACACTTGATACACTTCCAGAGGATGTGGGTTTGGTTCCCAGTATCCACATGGCCACTCAGAACTGTCTGTAACTCCAGTTCTAGGGGATCTGATGGCCTCTTCTGGTCCCCACAGTTACTACAGGCAAAACACCCATACAGATAAAATAAAAACACATAAATCTTAAAAAAAAAAAAAAAAAAAAGGAGAGAAGGAGAGTAGATAGTACAGTTCTCATACTGGAGTTTGTGACAGTGGCATCTTACAGTATAGGTCATTAGGCCCTAAGTTGATATCATTCCATCCAATAACAAAAATAAATAAGGCCTCAGTCAGGCATGTTGTTTGATTGTTGTTAGTTCTTTTGGCATTGGGACATGAATCCAGGGCCCTGTGTATGCTAAGCAAGCACTTTACCACTTCATTATATTCCCAGTCCCCACTCATGATTTTTAGATGGCATTTGATAGCCATTTAATGTTTTGTGATTTAACGTAGCTCACAGCCAAGGTCACAGAGCAAAATGAAGCTCAATGTTATTACTGCTTCAATTACTTTTCCTTTATAGCCGTTATTCTTTGTTTTGATAGAAAGGAAAGGACTTTGGATTTTTTCCCAGAGATGCAGTCCAGATTGAAGAGGTGTTCATATCTGAAGAAGTCGAAATGCCAACTAAAGTGAGTAAACTCATCCTCACCTATTAATTGAATTAAAAAATTCTCGGAAAAAATGGCTTCCTTGGAATAAATGTTTATCAGTTGTGTACCTCATTTAGCAACTGAAACAAACTGTTATTAAGAACTTGTTCTTGGTATGGTTTGGGTATGTGACTACAATGAGATAAAACAGGATTGATGACAGCTAAAGACTTTGGTTTCTGAGCAATTAACGGGACAATAGAGTACAGCAGTTTAAAGAGTGAATTCTGGGTGGCAGCCTTTACTTCCAAATCATGTTAAGCTTGGTAATGGGGCTGGAGAGATGGCTCTGGGGTTAAGAACACTGGCTGCTCTTCCAGAGGACTCAGGTTCAGTTCTCAGCATCCACATGACAGGTTAAGCTTGTCTGTCGCCGGGCGTTGGTGGCGCCTGCCTTTAATCCCAGCACTCTGGAGGCAGAGGCAGGCGGATCTCTGTGAGTTTGAGGCCAGCCTGGTCTCCAGAGCGAGTGCCAGGATAGGCTCCAAAGTTACACAGAGAAACCCTGTCTCGTAAAAACAAAAAAGAAAAACAACAACAACAACAAAAGCTTTCTGTCACAGGGGACCTGACACCCTCACACCAATGCACATAAAATAAAACAATATATATACTCTCCAGAGACACACTCCAAATAAAATAATTAAGGAAAAGAGTATATAGAAAGGAAATACATAATAATAAATATATAAAAAAGGAAAAAGAATCAGAAAATGATATTTAAAATATATAAATTTGACTTGCCAATTTAATTCAGATTCCAGGTTTTACCACGAGTAAGGTCATCGTGAAGTAAGACTGTTTGCTTCCACAAACTGTCTATTGTTGGCACTGGGATTAGCTGTCTACTTCCTGCTAGATACTGGGCCCTGTCAATTCTATCTCTTTACAGTATCTGTAGCACATTCTCTTCTCTGTATTTCCACCTCTTCCAAGGCGTTGCCATCCTTTTTCACCATTTTTTATTATTATTGTGCTTTATGTTCATGGTGAGGGAAGAGTCATTGCCATGGGCCTGTGGCAGTTAGAGGACAACTTTGAGGAGTCCGTTCTCTCCTTCAATAGCACCCACTCCCCTGGGAATGCTAAAAGCTTTTATCCATTCACACTACCCTCATGGCCTAATTACTTACCATGAGGGTCCATCTCCTAAGACTGTTGCAATTAGTTTCATATATGTGCTTTTGGGGGAAACATCTAAGATATATAGCCTGTGTCCTGAAATTACTGCACAAACGGGTGCATTCACTCAGTACACTCTTAGGAGGTGCCAGATTTTGTAGCTAATACACATATACCTTCTTGTCAGAATCTATTTGTAGAATATACTCAAAGCATTAACAATCTATGCTTCTCAACTATTTGATAACAAATAAAGCATACTCTAAGAGTTTTTTTCATTTAAGTTTATATCATTAATCCTTGGAAGTCAGTTTTTTTTTTGTTTTTGTTTTTTGTTTTTTTTCGAGACAGGGTTTCTTTTTAGCTTTGCAGTCTGTCCTGGAACTCCTTCTACAGACTAGGACCTTGAACTAACAGAGATCCTCCTGCCTCTACCTCCCACCCCCACCCCCAGAATGCTGGGATGTATGCCTGGCAGGGAGTCATTTGTGATACCTGTGTTTGAGATTCAGAGACTTGATTTTAGGTTTTGCTCCGGGGTCAATATTTTTTTTTTCAATCTTTTACTTTATTTTATTTTTGAAATAGTCTTATTGACTTTGTGTGAGTGTATGCCACATGTTCAGGTGCCCAGGGAGGCAAAAAGAGGGTATTGGATTCCCTGGAACTAGCATTATAGGCAGTGAGTGAGCCACCTGATGTAGGTCCTGGAAACTGAAGCTCAGGTCTTCTGGTTTGTTTTCCTTTCTTTTTTTAAAGAAAGATGTATTTAGTATTCAGCATTCTGTCTCTGCACATATGCCTGCAGGCCAGCAGAGGGCACAAGATCTCATTACAGATGGTTGTGAGCCACCATGTGGTTGCAGGGAATGAACTGAGGACCTCTGGAAGAGCAGTCAGTGCTCTTAACCTCTGAGCCATCTCTCCAGCCCCTTGTCTTGTTTTTCAAGACAGGTTTCTCTTTGTAGCTCTGGCTATCCTGGAACTCACTCTGTAGCCCAGGCTGCTGTCCTGGAACTCAGATATTTGCCTGCCTCTGCCTCCTGAGTGCTGGGATTAAAAGCATGCACCACCATTGCCTGGCTGCCCCAAGTGTTCTTAATTGCTGAGCCATCTTTCCACCCAAAGACAAAGTCTTTCTATATAGATTAGCTAGCCTCAAATTCACAATCCTCCTGACTCAGTCTCCAAAATACTGGGCTTATAGGTGTGAAACAGCACACCTAGTTATAGACTGCTGTCTTAAAATGTTTAAGGAGATACATTTATGACTTTTTTTTTGTCTTTTAGGAATCTGACTTTCTTTGTCTGCTTGGAGAAGGCTACATATTTGGAAGTGAACATAGTGAGTTAAACAGCGAGGGTGATGGAAATATGTACCCATCTGAAGAAGATGAAGACCAAGAATATAATATATATGAAAGTGATTTTCAGCTAGAACCTGACTTTTATGCAGCTTCTGAAGGGACTTTGTTTGAAGACCAAATTTCAGCCTCAGAAGCTGGTGAAGAGTTCAGGGTTTCCAGTGAGTCTGCGGACTGGGATGAGACTGGACATGTGGGCAATGGGGAGCAGGGTTACACTCCTGACCTGGACCATGCCTTGCCATCCCTAAGTACGTCTGAAACGCAAGGATGGTTTGGACTGGGGAAAGAAGAAGCCAAAGAGAAGGCTTTTGAAGCAGATACTGACCCCACACAAGAAAGCTCATTTCAAAGTAGAAAATTAACAGTGGAAGAGAATGACTTAGAGAAATTAAACAATGGTGAACCCCAAATGGAACTTGAGCAAGATCCAAAACCACAGTTTGATTCAGAGACACCAGAATTCAGTCCAGTGCCAGAGGAGCAGTATGAACTTGTGTCTGAGTCGGAGAACAGCCTTAAGCCTCAAGCCACTGGCTGGTTTGATAGTGGATTTACAAGGCTTTTAGGTTTTGGAGAGGAGGATGCAGGACTTGAGTTATTGTCCAAAGAAAGTAATCCGCCTTTACAAGATGTTCTGGATTCTGTTTCACCTGATGAAGAAGCCCCAGCTCCATTCAGAGAAATGTCAGCAGACAAGGAAGATACAGTCATTAATGACAACTCAACTCCTGGTCCGTCTTGGTTTGACTTTAGTTTTGGTATGCTAGGCCTTGCATATGCTGATGAAGACAAAAGGATTTCAGACAACAGGAAGCGTGAAGATGGAGAGGTAGATAATTACAAACATCCGGTAGCAGATGACATTGACCCCGGAAAGGAACAAGAAAGGGGAATGATAACAGTCGTGGAAACAGAAGATCAGGTAGGTAAGGAAAGGGCCCTGGAGAAGAGAGATGATTCCGATTCTATGCAATATCTCAAGAAGTTCTTCCATAACCCTTGGAGCTTCCAGAGTCTCCCAGAGGACCCAGAATTACCGTTGTCCACACAGATGCTGGATCAAGATAACAGAGCAGAAAATGACAAAACTGAAAGACTTTCCACTGAAAATTCTGCCACAGAGAGCATGAAAGATCCCGTGACGCTGGAGGACAGATACAGCCTGTCAGGTTGGTATGAGAAGACTTATAATGTATTCATTAATTTATTTTCATTAGTACCCATCGGATGAGAAGGTTCACGTTTGCACTGGGGAGACTGCTCAGTGGATTAAGCACCTGCTGCATAAGCACGATGAGGAATTTGGATCCTCCCCCCCCCCCCCCCCCCAACAGAAAAAAAGGGGGGGTGGGGGGGGCTCTACTTGTAAACTCAGCACCCAGGAGGCAGAGGCAGAGGAATACAGGGGCAAGCTGGCTGGCTAGACTAGCTGGAACTATTGAGTTCCAATTTCAGTGAGAGACCCTGCTTCAGTAAGTAAGGTACAGAGCATCCGAGGAGGACAAAAGATGTTCACTCAGGCCTCTGCACTCGCACACTCCCACATAACCAAATACATACACACTCTCATTATTTGTTCACTTAATTTATTCTTCTCTTACATATTACATCCTGACCTTAGTTTCCCCTCCTTCCACTCTCCCTGCCACCTAACCTCCTTTCTCCCAGATCCAGCCCTCCTCCATTTCTCTTAAAAAAAAAAAAAAAAGAGTAGGCCTTCTAGGGATGTCAACTGAATATGACATAACAAGTTACAATAAGACTACACACACCTTGTATCAAGACTGGATGAGGTGACCCAGTAGTGGGAAAAGGGTCCCAAACGCAGGCAAAAGAGTCAGAGACACCTGCTGTACACACTGCCACTGTTAGGAGTCCCACAAGAACACTATCCTACACAGCCATAACATACGATCAGAGGACCTAGCCCAGACCCAGGCAGAGTCTGTGATTGTTGCTTCAGTCTCTTGAGAGCCCCTATGAGCCCTGCTTTGTTGATTCTGTAGGCCACATACACACTCTAAAAAGAAAATAGTTCATGTTTTTCAGAACTATTTTTTTTTTAAATTTAGAAACAATCCTTTTACATATCAATTCCCACCCCCATTCCCTCTCCCTTCTATACTCCTATGTCCCCTGCTACCAACCGTCCCAACCCACCCCCACCTGCTCCCCAAGGATAGTGAGGCCTTGCATGGGGGATCATCAAAGTCTGTCACATCATTTGTGGGAGGGCCTAAGCCCTCCTCTGTGCATCTGGGCTGAAATAGTCTCCCTCCATAAAGAATGAACTCCCAAAGTCCATTTGTACACTAGGGATAAATACTGGTTCCATTGTTAGAAGTCCTATAGACTGCCCAGGCCTCCTAACTGGCACCCACATTTAGAGGGCTTGGTTTGGTCCATTGCTGGTTCCCCAGGTATCTGACTGGGATCTGTGATCTCCCACTTGGTCAAGTCAGCTGTTTCTGTGGGTTTCTCCAGCATGGTCTTGACTCCTTTGCTCATCCCGCCTCCCTCTCTACAACTGGATTCCAGGAGTTTAGTGTTTAGCTCAGTGTTTAGCTATGGATCTCTGCTTCGGCTTCCATCAGCTACTGGATGAAGGCTCTAGGATGGCAATTAAGGTAGTCATCAATCTCATTATAGGGGAAGGGCATCAAAGGCAACCTCTCCACAACGACCTAGATTCTTAGTTGGGGTCATCTTTGTGGATCTCTGAACATTTCCATAGTGTCATATTTTTCTTTAAACCTATACTGGTTCTCTCTATTAAGGCATCTCTTTTCTTGCTCTCTTCTATTCCTCCCTTGATTCAGTCTTCCTGATCCCTCTTGTTGTCCGCCCCCCTCCTCTTCCCTTCTTTTTTTCTTACCTCCTTCCCCCTCCCCCATGCTCATTGCTCAGGAGTTCTTGTCCTTTTCCCCTTCTCCGGGGAACCACGTATTTCTCTCTTAGGGTCCTCCTGGTTTCCTAGCTTCTCTGGAGGTGTGGATTGTAGGCTAGTAATCCTTTGCTCTATGTCTAATATCCATATATGAGTGAGTACATACCATGCTTGTCTTTCTGTGACTGGGTTACCTCACTCAGGATGGTTTCTTCTAGTTCCATCCATTTGCCTTCGAACTTCAAGATTTCATTGTTTTGTTTTGTTTTTTTCCCCACTGAGTAATAATCCACTGTGTAAAAGTACCACATTTTGTCCATCCATTCTTCAGTTGAGGGACATCTAGGTTGCTTCCAGGTTCTGGCTATTACAAACAATGGTGCTATGAACATAGTTGAACAGATGTCCTCATTGTACAAATGTGCATCCTTTGGGTATGTGCCTAAGAGTGGAATTGTTGGATCTTGAGGTGGACTGATTCCCATTTTCCTGAGAAACTGCAATGGTGATTTCCAAAGTAGCTGTACAAGTTGACACTCCCACCCACAGTGGAGGAGTGTTCCCCTTTCTACACATCTTCTACAGCATAGACTGTCATTGGTGTTTTTGATTTTAGCCATTCTGGCTGGTGTAAGATGGTATTTCAGAGTTGTTTTGATTTGCATTTCCCTGATGGCTATG